TTAGGGGGGAATACAAGTCATATCACTAAAACATAATCTAAACTTAAAAATAAGCTTTTCACAGAAACGTTGGGTTCTGTTCACAGACTGTTTTGACTATCTTACACTTAATATTTTTCTAAATTGTACAATATTCAAATAGCTCAGGTTTATACCTTTCTAAAGACTACTTGTACGCATTCATATGATTTTTCTACAACTTATGGAGGTTTTTATAAAAGTATCTATCATTTCAGAATATATTTCGGACCAGTCAATGAAAATGGAAAATTTCACACTTGTTATATACCACTAAAGGCCATAATAAAAATTATGGACAAAGTACATTCATTTTCGAAACTCTCAAAGTTTACCGCTTAAGATTATGACATCCGATAATTTTTTTATAATTTTTCTATAAACGTGAACATAAAAGTTTAAATAGAAAAATGGTTTATGGCTCAATAACACTTTGTAATATGATGAGCAACATGTGTAATATTATATAAATACATATTGATTATATTTCATGCTATTTTACTTTCATGAAAAGGTAATAATCACGCACATACGGGTTTTCATTAGTACCAAACATTTATGATAAATTATAATAGATATGGTTTATGGTTCATTTATACTTTGAACATACAAATGAAGGTTTTATTTCCAATACAAAAGGGTTTTCATTCACACTACACATAAACTCGTTGAATCAAATTTGTGAGCTAAAGTCTTCATGTACAAATCAGCGTACCTACCAAGTCCTGTATTATAACCAGAGTCTCTTGTAAGGAGAGCATGATTCTCGTGTGTAAATCTATATTGGGATTGATAATCCTGAAACTAAGCTGCTTGCAATAGCTAGACCAGCAGGTCTGGGGTGACAAATGTCATAACATTCCGATGCCCGAATAACGTGGTAACATGCCATCTATGTCGTTAGCTCGTTTATAATAACTCACATGTGGAGACAACGATACATATAGTTTACGTGGATACATTCACTCAAACAGTGTAATATAATTTAAAACTACATACACTATTATAAGTATGGAAAATAGTTGTACATTTTGGTCTTTGGGTCTTAAGACTGCATCTCATTTTTCAAGGAAAATATTGGATTTTTATGGAACATACACTACTTTATAAAGAAAGGATTTCAACTCTACATACAAAATCTTATGCACTCACCAACTTAAATATTCACACTTTTCAAAACTACTTGTGTTCTCAGGTAATCACTAAAATAGTTAACTACAAGCTTTTGAGGATGGGATGCTAAGGTGCCAGACAAAATCATTTTTGTCATCATATTGTAATTAATTTTGAAACATGTAACTCGTGAAACAATGTAACCTTTCCAATTATATATATATATATATATATATATATATATATATATATATATATATATATATATATATATATATATATATATATATGATGGTTGTGTTTGATTTCTTTACTAGTATTCAACTGTTATGATACTATACATGAAAGTCATCCACCCCCGGATGTTTCCGCCATTTTGGTTTGGGGGTGTGACAAAACTACGGATTCGGTTTCTCTATTTATCAAACATTTTGAGTATGGATTTAATCATGATTTCTCTTGTATCAAACATTTTAAGTATGGATTTACTTATGATGTTTCTGCTTAACAAACATTTTAAGTATAAATTTACTTATGGTTTAACTACTTAACAAACATTTTAAGTATGGATTTAATTATGATTTTTCTATTTGAATCAAACATTTTAAGTATGGATTTATTTATGATTTGTCTCTTTACCAAACACTTTAAGTATGGATTTACTTAAATTTTCTTTTTTTATCAAACATTTTCTAACATGGTTTTACCTACACAAGAGATACTTCTTGGACTTAAAAAAATAGTATCAAAACTACGGTTAGATGTAAACCTATAAACTCTCACCAAATTTGTGTTGACCCTCAAATCTACATGTATTCTGAGGATATCAACAAACAAGTTTCCAGTCATAAAATTAGTCACGAATTCAGGCAACCTAGTTGTATCTAAGTTTTGGTTAGATCGGCCTATCTGTTAAGGTAAATTTATGAAATTATTATTATTATGAACTGTGTATTCAAACCGTAAGGTGAAATAAAACTATTGGGTTGTCATTATTGTAACTTGTGATGTATATTTAATTTTCTTGTGATCAATGAACTAAGTCTCACAGCCCGGCGTCATCTGTTGCCTCGGACAGGGGTGTAACATTCGGCAGAAGAAAAGAAAGATCCAAAGAAAAGGATTAGGATCCTCGTAAGACCCTAGAAAAAACAGAATCCCCTCCTTCCCCTCCTAGAGATGCTAAGTTAATCAATGAAATCTATGGAGGATCTAACATTTAGTGCACCTCTTAATCTACAACAAAAAGACATGCTAAAGTGTCAAAGATGGAGAAAGAAGAAAGGACACAGAAGAACACATCGATCACAAATGAGAAATAGATCACCTTCGACGAAACAGATAGAACAGATGTCTAGGATCCTCATAACGATGGATTGGTGATCACTCTTTACATCACCAACCATTCTGTCAGAAGGATCCTTGTTGATGGAGGATCCTTAGTTAACGTCATACTCTTGGATGCTTTAAAAAGGATTAACATTCTTAAAGCCGAAATAGTCAAAAGATTCTCAGTGCTGATCAGATTCAGTGCCAAAACAAAACATATATTCTGCGAAATAAAGCTACCTATTACGTAGAGGGGGTAAACTATATGCAACACTTTTGTGTAATTGATACATTCTCCTAGTATAATCTTATATAGGTAGACCATGTATCCACGATATGAAGGTTGTCTCCTTAACATACCATCAATCTGTTAAAATGCCCATTCATTGGGGACAGTAAAAATCATAGGTGATCAACAAGAATCTAGGGAGTACTACAAGAATTCGATGAAATCTTCAACAATACCAAGAAAAGGATAAAAGATAAAGCAAGGGACACAAGGTGTAATGGAAACAAGAGATTAAGATATAAAGGAAGTGTCTCTAAACCTTGAGGATCCTGAAGATAAAGTCCTCACAGGATCCTTGTAACATCTTGTTTTCCGTCATTTCTTATTTCAGGGTTGATGGTTACAAACACAATCGATTCAAGAAAAAACTTAAGAACACAAGATGTAAATATAATCTGGTTGGCCCGTATTAACTTTATGCAAAGTACAAAGTATAAAGAGTGTTTTACAATCAAACGTGCTCAAAATTTACCCTTACTATATTACATACCCTATTAATTGGGTACAACAAACTCAACAAAAAATACAAGGGCTAAACATTCTAGATTCGAATAATATCAGCATCTTGCAAATACATAGATAGTCGAAATCATTTGGATTTTGAATCCTTATAGACTCATACCATTTCGACTCCTCGCTATAACGTTTCGACCACTACAATCTCCCCTTAGTGAGATTAGTCAAAATTATGCCATCAATTTTAGAGGTTGAAGAACTACATTCTGAATCTCCATGTACCACAAAATAGTCTTTCAAATTCTCTGCCTTGTCTTCAATTTCATTCTTCTTGTAGTTGTTAATTTGAAGGAGATTAGGATGCTGAGAATTCATATACCTCTCAAGATCACTCACTTGGAACAAAATTTTTGTCATTCTCCCATTATTGTTCTTTCCTCGAAACACGACCCTAAGAGGCTAATGAATTATCTCACCATCTTCATAATCATCGATGTTAATCTTTCCTCTTAGAAAAGATTAAGGGACTTTTGAAGGTTTCTTGACAGCTGAAGTAAGCTCAATATCAGTTATTGCCAAATAATCATAGTATTTGTCTATGAAAACCTTGATTTGAGCAAAACCAATGATGAAATCATCCTTTTTTGTCTCAGCCACATTACTCAAAAAAAAATTTGACAGTGATCAACTCATTTAAGTTCATTAATGGGAAATCTACAATTATGAACTCACAAGCAACATTGTTTCCTGTTAAGACCACATAGCAAAAATTTTGTAGAAGACCTTCGAACAAGTTGTCATAGATGATAGTCATCAACTTCACTATCTTCACAGGTGACCATATCTCTTCTTCATTTTTTCCCAAATACTACATGAAAACAAATCTCCAGTCTTTTGAATTCATCCTTATCATTGAAATTTTCAACAATCTTGAACTAAAAAGATGTGAATAACATGTGGTTGATCGGGAAATTAAGTTGATTGTAATCATAATTCTCAATATCATAGTTCTTATCAGGGATCTTTCAAAAGTAATCATTAAAACCAATCGAAACAATATCCTCAATATTTTTATAGCATCACTACTTGTTTGGATCACCCTTGTGTAAGCCAGGTGGTTCATTAGCTCTTCGCCTCAAGATATTGTTGATCTACCTTTTTCTTGATTTCAAGAGCTTTTTGCTTGTTCTTCTCTTCTTCTGATGGAACCACATAAATATCTTTTCCTTTATTACATGGATCATCATTCGAATATGGTGGAATCAAACTTAAACTCGAACCTCCAGCTCCTTCATTTATTGAGATTCCTTTATTTAGTGTTATTGTAGTTGTTCTCGTTGTAGAAGTTGTAGAACACGTTCTCCTAATAGTAGAACACGTTCTCCTAATAGTAACCCCTTTCTCAGGATCTTTTGAAGAACCAACTACTCTAAATCCTTTCTCTCCCCCTTGTGACACTCACACCGCACGTGGAGCATTAGTTGGTAAATGAAGAACCAAATCAAGGATTAGAGCAAGCTATGATTTGATATTAGACTTAATATTCGAAATTAATTGAGAAATATACTCTTAAGAGACTTTTGATTGGTTCGAAAGATCAACTTTCAAAATAAACTCCTTGATACTGGATAAAAATTCTTCCATCTTTTCAAACAACTGATAATCCTTTTCTGACTTCGCTTCAAGATTGTTCTTATACTCAGTGTTAAACTCAACCAACTTAGTAATATAGTCGCAATGACATATTTTTTGCTATGCAATAGAGTATAGTTTTGCTCCATTTTTTAAACTTCTTTCACACTTCAAATTTAAGTTCAACAACTTTGAGATCCATAGATTCCTTCATTTTTGTCACTTGTTCAACAAAGAGTTCAAGATGTTCCTTTGTAATGTCACGAAGCTTTTGATTCTCATATTTAAAGCTCTTGGAATGAACTTCTAACTTTTCAGCTTTTTTCTGCTTAATGCCATCAAACATGATTCGAAAGCCATTTTCTTGAGCTTTCAACAAATACTTCATCGTAATACCAGTCACAAAATTCTTTCCCATGTATCTGCTTGTATTTGAGGAAGAGAAATTATTTTCATGTTGAGGATATTGAACTATTTACCTGACGTGATTAAGTTATCGGGAACATTATACTCCTCAGGATCAAATTGAAGATCAGCAAAGGACACCATGATCTCATCATCATTAGGTTCTTCATCATGAATCATTCTCTCAGCCTCAGTCGATTGAGAAGAGAAAATAGTGGTAATCGATTCATGCATGATAGTAGAATAAGTTCGTGATACGGTCAAAACTGGAACTGAAGTTGTTAAGGGTGATGAAATTGGTGGTAAAGTTGTTGAGGTTACAATTGTAGAAGTTTCGATTGTAGATGAGATGATGATTGAAGTGTGGATGTGTAACAGCCCGAATCCAGGTATTCTTCTATTTTGGATTAAGTTGTAAATTTAGGGTTTCCATCGTAGGCGAGTATGCTAGGCGTACAAGGTGTACGCTGCGCGTACTCGCGCGCCTCATTTGGATGCGTTCCCCCTCAGGTACGCGGGATGTACCCAAGGTTACGCCCGACGTAACTCATTCAGACCCAAACCCTAATTTCCTTTGAAGGGGCTATAAAAGGAATGTGTGGCTGGACTTCTCAGCCACCATCCCTCAGAGTGAAACCCTAAAAAGAGTGTACCTTCGTTCTTTAGCCATTGTGTGTGTATTCTAAGCTTGGTGGTGCCATTCCAAGGTTACAAAGGAGAAGGAGAGCTTGCCGGAGAGGCTAGAAGTGGTGCTCAAGTGTTGATCTGAGCTTTGCAAGGGCTAAAGCTTCATTTCCAGGTATAAAGTTTGGATCTTGTCACTTGGTTCATGTTGTATGCTTTAGATGTCATTTTCTAGGGTTTAAGTCCCAAAGGTGGAGACTATTGTGCAAATGGCCTCCATAAGCTTAGATACTTCATATTTCATATCTTTTGGAGTTGTAGACTCATAAAAATGGCATCTTGGACGTGGGTATTGCACCATGCATGAGATCTAGGTCCTTGAGTTTGAATAAAAGGTTGTTATGTGATGTTGGAGCCTTTACAGCCATGCCAAGGCTTAAAGGTCTCGACTTTATGGGTTTAGACACACTAAAGGAGTCGGATCTGGAAGTTGGAGTAATGTCTTAACCGATTAAGACCAGAAATGAAGAGTGGCTGATTCTGATGGTTACGTTGGGCGTAACTTCCAGTAGCGCAGCGTACTGGGTGGAGACCCCGATCCAGGGGGTTGGCGATGTACGCCCCGCGTACATCTAGCAGTACGCCCCGCGTACTCTCAGGGTTGACTTTTGTTGACTTTTAGGGTTTTGGTCAACATGAGGACTTTAGGTCAAGGAAGGGTAAAATAGTCTTTTACCCTTTGAAGAATGATGATAAGGGATAAAGTTTTAGTGGTGGAAGTCTTTGCGTATTAAATAATAATATTTTTATGTTTAGGCGAGGTAGAGTCGTCGTTGAGATTCGGTGATAGCGAGGACACGAGATCTTAGACTTTCCACGAGGTGAGTCTTCTCACTATACTGTACCCAGAAGGGTTTGACTGTGTGACCGGAAGGTCGAATATGATATGAGATATATGCATTATGTGTGATAAGTTAATCGTTATATGTGCCATGTATAATATGCTTGATATGGGCTGGAAGGAAAATATGTTATGGGCCGGAAGGCGTTGTGATGTGGACCGTAAGGTTGACATGGGTAGGACCGGAAGGTTTACCTAGTCGGGACGGAAGTCCCCTGAGACACATGGACCGAAAGGTCGAGGCCTGGAAAGGCGTATGTGTGAAAGTTGTATTTCGGGGAACTCACTAAGCATTTATGCTTACAGTTGTTGTGTTATGTGTTTCAGGTACTAGCGAGGACTATGGGAAGGCGCCGGCGTGATCGTACACATTATCGGGGGAAAACTATTTTTATGATCTTTGTGATGTATTCAGTTGTGACAATATTGTTTACGTTTGAATTTGAAATATTAATCGATGTTTGATGTTTGCAAAAATGAAAAATTGGTTTTAAAATTTACGTAGTTACAAGTTGGTATCAGAGCCTTGGTTTGAGGGATTCGGATACACCTTCGGGCGTAACTGAACTCAAACCGGGGATTTGAGAAATTTTTAATTAATAAAATCAATAAAAACTTGATAAGAGATTTTGAAACAATCAAGGAAGAAGAAGTGTGTACGGTCAGCCAGCACCCGAACGGTAAAGTCCCCAAAATACTCTTACAATATTTGTTATAAGATATGATATGATATGATATGCATGCTAGTAGACTAGGTATTCATGTTAGGACTAGAGTGGCCTGATTTGTGATGCCTTAGTCTAGGGAAATCTGCTGCTATGAGGCGCTTTGAGAGCGAGTGGGTAGCTAGTGCATGGCAAGAATAGAGTACTCATGATCCGGGGTTTGGGGAGGAGGACTTGGGGTGAATGTTGATGCGGTGTAGTTGGTAGTATTGGGCCCGTAATACTGAAGACACTGGGTCAGTGGGCAACCCAAGTAAGAATCCCTGGGTATCGGAGACTGAGTAGGGTTGCTTTATCGAGTGCGATTATGCTCGATAGAGTCTCTGATATTTCTATGTTGTATTTCAGAGGCACCATGGTTGGACCATGCCACAGACCTGGTACGAGCAGTGTGAGTGACGAGGAGCTTCGTCAGATGATTCATGAGGAGGTGGCTACAGCGATCCGGGCTGAGATTCCGGACATGTTTGGATCTATTAAGCCCACACTGATGGAGACTTTTGATGAGCGGTACGCCGCGTTGATTGAGGCTGCAGCCGCTGCAGCTACCGCAGCTGTGGCTGTTGCCAGACTACAGGGAGGTGACTCGTTGCTGTTCCGGGAGTTCAGCAACACGAAGCCACCTGAGTTTGACGGGACGCAGGATCCGATCGCTGCGATGAGATGGATTGCTGATATCGAGGGATGCTTCTACACTTGTTCTTGTCCGGAGCATCTGAGGGTACGGTTCGCCTTGAACCAGCTCCGCCTGGGTACAAAGGACTGGTTGAAGTTCGTGACGACGAACTTTACTCTGGAAGAGGTTTCAGCTATGACTTGGGAGAGGTTTACTGCTATGTTCAGAGACGAGTACATTCCCCCGGTGGAGAGGGAACGGTTGGTTCAGGAGTTTTTGACCCTCAAGCAGGGTAATGATTCTGTCACGGTGATCACGCGGAAGTTTCATGAGAGGGCAATGTTTTGCCCTGAGCAGGTGTCCACGGAGCAGGCTCGGATGAGCCGGTATTTGGGTGTGCTGAGGAGGGATATCCAGGAGTTCGTATCAAACTCATCATACCAGACTTTTGCTGACCTTCAGGCAAATGCCAGAAAGCGTGAGATCGAGTTGGAGACCCAGGCCAGGGAGGAGGCCGAGTCTCAACGGGTGGATCGGCGGCCGACTCAGTCTCAGCCGGCAGCCAAGCGGACCAAGTCCGCCGATTCGAGATCAGGAGGTCAGAATGGCCGCACTTGCGGAAAGTGCGACAAGGGTCACGAGGGGGCATGCCGATTGGGTGCTTGCTACAAGTGTGGCAAGGAGGGGCACATTGCTAGGGATTGCCCCAAGGGATTTATGGTTTGCTTTCATTGCAACCAGACCGGCCATCGGAAGGCCGAGTGCCCCCAGCTTCGCCAGGCATCTACGCCTGCTGCCAGGGTTACCGAGACTCGGCCGGTGAAAGCCAAGGCTCCGAAGGCTCGTGGGAGAGATTTTCAGTTGACTGTAGAGGAGATCTGCGCGGCGCCTGATGTCGTAGCTGGTATGTATTCTTTCGCGTATTTACTTTTATGATAAGGTATTGTGCTTATATTATGATATGCGTAGGTACTTTTCTTCTGAATTCTGTACCTGCTTTGGTATTGTTTGACTCGGGTGCGATTCGGTCTTTTGTATCGCTGGCTTTTAGCCAACACATCGCTGTTGATCGGGAGGTGATGAGTCGACCCGTGCGAGTTTCTATAGCGGATGAGAAAGCGGTATACACCACTGATGTGATTCGAGGATGTGTGCTCGAGATTTTTTGGGTCAAGTTCCCTATACACTTGGTTCCTATAGCGATGGGGAATGTCTGCGTCATCGTGGGCATGGACTGGTTGAGTAAGTTTGGGGCAGTCATTGACTGCGAGAGACAGCTGGTGACGATTCGAGACCCTAGTGGGGGAGTGCTTACGGTGTATGGCGAGGGGACCTGGTGTGGGTTGGTGTTTTGTTCGGCTGCCAGGGCGAGGCAGAGCTTGCAACAGGGCTGCAATGGATACATAGCGTACGTGATGGATACTCGAGTGGCCGCGGGGAGGCCCAATTCGGTTGATGACGTTCCTGTAGTATGCGAGTTTTCAGATGTGTTCCCCGAAGAGTTGCCAGGTGTGCCTCCGGAAAGGCAAGTGGAGTTCCATATCGATTTGGTTCCGGGAGCGGCGCCCATCGCCAAGGCGCCTTATCGTCTCACTCCACCGGAAATGCAGGAGTTATCCTCGCAGCTTCAGGAGCTGTTGGGGAAGGGGTTTATTTGACCGAGTAGCTCACCGTGGGGAGCGCCGATTTTGTTCGTCAAGAAAAAGGATGGTTCACACCGGATGTGTATCGATTACCGGGAGTTGAACAAGCTGACGGTTAAGAACCGGTATCCGTTACCGAGGATCGACGATCTGTTCGATCAGTTGCAGGGGGCATCTTGGTTCTCCAAGATAGACTTGAGGTCGGGTTATCATCAGATGAGGGTTCGGGATGAAGATATTCAGAAGTATGCTTTCAGAAGTCGTTATGGACATTATGAGTTTGTGGTGATGCCTTTTGGGCTCACCAATGCCCCGGCTGCGTTCATGGATCTTATGAACCGGGTGTGCAGGCTGATGTTGGATCGGTCGGTGACCGTATTCATTCATGATATTTTGGTATATTCGAGGTCTAGGGAGCAGCATGAGGAACATTTGAGGGAAATTCTTGGGGTATTGAGATCGGAGAGGCTGTATGCCAAATTCTCCAAGTGTGATTTCTGGTTACGAGAGGTCCAGTTCCTCGGGCATCTTGTTAACCAGAAAGGGATATTGGTCGACCCAGCCAAGATTGAGGCGGTGTTGAGGTGGGAGGTGCCGAGATCGCCCACTGAGATCAGGAGTTTTCTGGGATCGGCTAGATATTATCGCAGGTTTATCAAGGATTTCTCCAAGATCGTCGTGCCACTTACTAGGATGACCCGGAAGGGTGTTGCATTTTCGCGGGG